TGTACCTCATTCTTCTCGGACTAGGACTCCACTTACCGCTACCTCCAATACTGCCAAATACAAGTAAAGTTGTTCATCTGCCCTCGGCGTGTGAAGCATCGGCGGGCTTGATAAGTACCGTTTAAGCTCTTCCAAGGCTTGCTGACATTTTGAGGTCCATGTGAAGTTATTTTTCTTCTTTAGCAACGAGAAAAATCGGTGGCCCTTATTGGAGGACCTCGATATGAATCGCCCCAGGATGGCTATGCGCCCGGTTAACCTCTGCACGACCTTTACGCTGTCTACTACCGTGATGCCATCGATAGCTTCGATCTTGTCAGGATTAATCTCGATTCCTCGGTTGGATACCATGAATCCGAGAAATTTGCCTGACCCGACCCTGAATGCGCATTTTTTTGGGTTCAGCTTCATGTTGTATTTCTTCAATACACTGAGAGTTTCCTGCAAGTGCTTCAAATGGTCCTCAACTCGCAAGGACTTAACTAGCATGTCATCAGTGTAAACTTCCATAGATTTCCCTATTTGTTCTTCGAACATCTGATTTACTAGGCGTTGATAAGTGGCACCAGCATATTTTAATCCAAATGGCATTACATTGTAGCAATAGGTACCATATTTAGTGATGAACGAGGTCTTTTCCTGATCATCCGGGTTCATCTGTATTTGGTTGTACCCGAAATAGGCATCGAGAAAATTGAGGATCTCGTGGCCGGCCGTGGCATCGATCATGCGATCGATATTAGGCAAAGGAAAATAATCCTTGTGGCATGATTTATTTAGATCTTTGTAATCTACACACATTCTAAGTTTGTTTCCTTTATTAGGGACTACTACTATGTTTTCTAACCATTCGGGATATTTTACTTCACAGACGGACCCTATTTTAAGAAGCTTGGTTACCTCGTATTTGACGAAAGCATGTTTGATCTCGGACTGAGGTTTTCTTTTTTACTTCACCGTATGGAACTTCAGGTCCAAGCTTAGTTTATGGGTGGTGATTTCCGGTGGGATCCCTGTCATGTCGAGATGGGATCAAGCGAAACAATCTATCTTAGCTATAAGAAATTGAATAAGCTTTTTCCTGAGCTTGGGATTTAACCCCATGCCCAGGTATACCTTTCGTTCGGGAAAATATTCGATTAGTATGATTTGCTCCAGCTCTTCGACCGTTGACTTGGTAGCGTCGGAGTCATTAGGGACTATGAAGGATCGAGGGACCCTATAATCATTATCTTCGTCAGTCCCCTGCTTCTCTAGTTGGGTCGAGGCCGACGTTTGTGATTGCTATTTGGCCTCATGTTTTCCCTTCGAATTTGACACCTTAGTTGATGAGAGTGACGATATCGGAATCACTTCATCAATGGCAAACATTTCCTTTGCGGCGGGTTGCTCCCCATAGATTGTTTTGATTCCCTCTGGTGTTGGGAATTTTAGAACCCAGTGATGGGTCGAGGGCATTGCTCTCATGTTGTGGATCCATGGTCTCCCGAACAAGGTGTTATACCTCATGTCACCCTCGATCACACGGAACTTCATCTCTTGGATGGTCTCGGTCACATTTACTGGCAAGGTTATCTCGCCCTTAGTAGTTTCATATGCCATGTTGAATCCGTGTAGCACTAGGGTCGTGGGCACAACCTAGTCCTATAGGCAGAGTTGTTCTACGACCCTCGACCGAATGATGTTGGCCGAGCTACATGGATCAATTAACACGCATTTAACTTGAGTCTTATTCCTGAGTACAGATATTACCAGTGCATCATTATGGGGCTGCATGATCCCTTCTGCATCCTCGTCGTTGAAGGAAAAGGTTCCTTCTGGTATGTAATCCCGAGTTTGCTTCTCCCTTGTGATCGACAGCTTGGTGCATTTTAACAACGACCCTTGGGGAACATCGACCCCTCCGGTGATCATGTGAATAACGTGTTGCGGTTTTCTTGCTCATTTTGTCTATTGGACTCTTTGTTTTTGAAATGATTCTTGGCTCGATCACTTAGAAACTCCCCAAGGTGCCCTTCATTGAATAGCCGGGCTACTTCTTCTCTTAATTGCCTGTAATCATCCGTTCTGTGGCCATGGGTGCCATGATACTTGCATATTTGATTGGGGTTTCTCTAGGCTGGATCGGTCTGCAGAGGTCGAGGCCATTTAGTATCCTTGATGCATCCGATATCCGATACGATGGCGGATGCATCAATATTGAAGTTACATTCCGAAAATCGCGGTGCTTCCTTAGGTCCGGTATGCCTGCCGAAACCATTCTTGCTCATGAGCCCTCGAGAGCTCTAGCCTCGATCATTTCTCCTTTCACCTCATACGGAGTTGTGCCCAGGTTCGTTGCCTCTACAATCTCTATTATACGGCCGGTATCGATCCCTGTTCAAACTTGGTTCTTGATCGACGTCCCTTTTGGTAATGGACCCGGAAGGAGCCCCTAGCTGGTCGTCTTCGACTCTAATCTTCGATTGATATCGATTATATATATCGGCCCAAGTAACAGCCGGGTACTCAATCAAGTTCTGCTTCAACTGTTGTGAAGCCACTAAGCCTCGTTCATTAAGTCCTTTGGTGAAAAGCTTGAACGGCCCATTCATCGGTGACCGGTGGTAGATCCATTCGTTCCATTTGGAAACGAGACACAAACTCTCTGAGCATCCCGTTATCTTTCTGCTTTACCTTAAAAAGGTCCGACTTCCTAGTCTCGACCGTTATGGCTCCGGCATGTGCTTTTACAAAAGAATCTGCAAGCATGGCAAAAGAATCGATAGAGTTAGGTGGTAAATTATGGTACCATATCATCGCTCCCTTTGACAGGGTATCCCCAAATATTTTCAGCAAAACAGACTCGATCTCGTCTTCTTCCAAGTCGTTCCCTTTGATAGTACATGTATAAGAGGTTACATGCTCGTTTGGATCGGTCGTTCTGTTTTACTTTGATATTTTGGGCATACGAAATTTTTTAGGGATCAGTTTTGGGGCCGCGCTCGGAGGAAAAGGCTTTTGCACGAACTTCTTTGAATCCAGTCCCTTCAGTATCGGGGGTGCCCTAGGGATTTGATCCACCCTGGAATTATAGGTTTCGACCTTTTTATCGTTTCCTTCGATCTTCTTTTCCCCCGACTCTATTCGCTTTGTCGATTCCTCGAGCATTTTTATAATTTCGGGGTTAGTCCCTGATTCTTGTTCATTTGACCTTACCACGGTTGGCCCCGTTCTGTGGGTGACTTTTTAGGGTGGATCGGGCTCAGCCCTGCTTGGTGCCTGGGTTTGGCTCTGTAACTGAGCTATCGCTACCTGTTGAGTTTGCACCATTTCGAAGATCATACGTAGGCTTATCCCGTCTTCTCCGATATTTTGGGTATTTCGGACTGCAGATCGGGTTCCACCATGGACGGTGTTTTCGGGACCAGTATGCTGGTTCGCGTCAATGGCCACATGTGAATTAACGTCAATCGGATCCACGGTCCGAGTCCCAACGGGGTCAGTGGGTGGCCTTTCATCCCCGGGCGTTACATTGTTATTCTCACCTTGATGGCCAAATCCGTTGTCGATATGTAGGGGCAGTAATTGAGAGTTCGTCATCTTTAGCCTGAAATCAAAGATACACCCGGGCGTTCGGGGCGTGTTTTTTTAGTAAGGAGTAAGCCCTAGAGACTTTTTCAAATTAAAATAAAATTTGTTGAATTAGTCCTTCATATAATACCCAAATTCTCAAAAGTCAGTTTGGTAATTACTCAAAAGGTTTAAAAAGGAACTCAAAAGTATTAAATTTAAAAGTAAAGACCTTTTTTATTGATTTAAGCTCTAATTCATGGTTTTTCCAATTTTTTATCTTGCCCGCTACTCTGCTAACATCTCCCAAAAGTAACGAATATTTAATTTTTTTTACAAATACAAAGAGAACTACATTTTTCTTCATAGCAGCAAATCCTAAGTTCAAATTGCAGGTTAATCATTCTTTTTGTTCCTCCATATAGAAAATTTTATTCTTTTAGATTCAAATTACTTGTGCTTATAAGTAACGTATAATAGATTGTTTGATTAGTTTTTTGTGGGGATGGAGCACGCACATATATATAGTTTTCTTCAATTTTTATGCAATTTTACCTGTTTATAAATATTAACTGTCATTATATTATTTTATAAAATATTAAAAATTAAATACCTATGGGGCTTACGCCCCGCTGAGGCATATGTAAAACGCCCCGCCTTACGCCCACGCCTTTTAAAACACTGATTGCGAATATTCCGGCTTTCTGTTTTTTGGCTCTATAAACTTTCCTCGGTCTCGCTCGATCTCTATTTTGCTTGGTTTCGATCTTGGCCGATCTCGATCTTGATCGGTCTCTGGGTCACTAGCTCGGCAATCTAACTTCGCATCATGGTTCGATAATACACGAGTTCGAACCTTGTCCAATTATGTTCCAGTCTCGATTAGTCATATAAAGGGCAAACTCGATTTTGACCTTATACAATAGTTTGAAGGGGTAAAGAGATTCTGTCAATCTACTTGAATGCGATAATGATAAACGCTCGCTATTGTAGAAGGTTGAAATATTGGTCATAAAATATGAGCTGATGAAACTGTACAGGGAGGGGAAGATACTGAGACAAAGGAGGAAAGCTTTTGTACAAGTTGATATGAATGACTCTTTCAACAACAAAAGTGATTTGCATCCTTCAAATATTGATGAGGGTGAAGACGATGATTATGAAAGTCTTAGATAACTTGTTTGAATCAGAATATTAGTTCAAATGAATATGATGATGAAGATTTTTGTGATGAGAATGGTTCTAATAGAATAAGACCAAAGATGAGACTTGTCTCCAGTGAAGTGCTTCAGATTTTTGATACTTGTCCATTCTATACATTTAATAAGATAAATTTTCAGCATATATATAGCAAAAATGTCAAAGTGAATAAAAGAATTACAAAGGGGTCAATCAATGACCAATAAAAACAAAACTCTAGGAACTCAAGGACAAGCTAAGATTCTCTATCAATTGTGTTCCTGTGATGGCAAGACAGAAGATCTACAAATTGGACAAGTATTCTTCCCCCTCAACAGCCATTTCTTAATGCAACTTCCGTGATATTCATGTCCGCATTCAAGTGTACCAATTGTCTCATCATTTACATATTCACCTTGACAAATAACACATATTTCTCCTTCTGAATTAACTTCAACCTTAGAAGTCGAAGTCGAACCACAGTAGGTTCGTGTTCTCATGCAGTTTGCTATAATCTCCTCTTCTGCCTCCGCCCTTTGCTGTCCACTGAAAGGACTAATGAAGTTAATGATATCTTGGTCTTGTATTCTGTTTAAAATATGATTTAGAGCAGTTATATAAGCATGAATAAATTCACTTTCAGTTGTGGCAGAAACACCATTAATCGATTCTCCTTGAGTAGTGACATAAACACCATCAATGAATTCAGTTGTTGGCACAAAATAGTTACCCCACAAGTATGGATCCTCAATGTGATTAAACGAACTCTGAGCAGAGTTGTGAAACAAGTTATGTGGAGCAAAGCGATCGCTAACGTTTCTTGATTGCGAGGAATTCCTCAAACCGTGATGATAATTTGCAAGATCAGTAGCGACATAGACATCATCAACGTATTCAATTGTTGGCTGATAATTATATGGATCCTCACTGTGATTAAACGTTGTCTGTCCATTATTATATGTATGAGCAGAGGCGTGAAACAAGTTATGTGGAGCAAAGTGATCCCTATTGTTTCTTGGAAATACGAAACCATCTGGAATTTGCGAACGATTTCTTGAAACATTGTAATTTTCCAGAGCTTGACGATGATGGTGGGCTAGTTGGGAAAGATGACGAATTTGCCAATTTGTAGTCATGATAACACGAACCTAATGGAAAAAACTATTTCTGAATTTTGGTGCTTTTTTAAGTGATTGGCAATGTGTATGTTACTCATATATATATATATATTAGTAGCTGAAGTCCTTTATTTCCTAGGACTAGGATTTTAATGTTTCTATAAGTTGCGTAAGTCCTATAGTTCATAGGACTAGGATTAGTGAAGCCGGCTCCCAAATACTTAAGGTCTCAAAATATAAAGTACTAATATTATATATGTAACTTATATTTACACAATTATTGATAAAATATTTTAAATTTTAATATTTTTATAAAATTTGATAGATGTGGAATTAAAGGAGTTAATAGGATAAAACTTTTCTCTTACTAAATTAAATAATATATATACCTTCTCATCAATTCCATTTTTCTTTCTTTCTTTTTCATATTTTTCACTATTTTACTTTCTAATTTCAACTCAAATTCTCTAAATTAACTATTCCTTTTTGTTACATTTGATTGATCTACAACAAGTGTCGTAAGGTTTCAAACACGATGATAATAGGCTCAACCCTTTTATCATTTTCACTTAATGTTATATTTTTGTAGAGGGGAGAATTCAATACCATATTACGTGTATCTAACCCACACATAATACGTTGCTCTCTCATCACCAGATCAAAGTCATGTACACATTTTTTGTCTCAATATTATATGGTTTTTATGAAAGAAATTTCAGGGTCTTTTAATATATTTTAGCTTTAAGCCACCAGTTCCGTTGAGCCACCTGAGTAATGTTCAACAATTATTTATAGATTACTGCTCCATAAATATGTTGTTCAACCAGTTTCATTCAAATTTGGTAACTAAATACACATTCATTGATTGTTATCTTATCTTAATTGAGATTTTATAAAATTTAATTGAGAATGTCAGGGGTGGACATGTGGCTCAAGTAGGAGATTAGTAAAACTTTGATTTAGGTCCCCAAAATTTTTCAGTAATAGATTATATGATTTAATTTCAAGTTAGACAATATTAAAGTTTGCGAAAAAGAAAAGTACAAAAACCGTTGGAAAGAAAGAAAGAAGGATTGTCTACTCTTTAACACTAAAAATATTTTAGAACTTTGAATTAAATTACTTAAATCTTCATATTAGTAAATATATTTTTTATAACAACTATATAAGGTAACATATTGAAAATACATGGCTAACATCTTATTTATTTAAGCTACCTCTTATTAATATAAATAATAATATTATTATGTGAAGTTAAAGGTTTTATCATTTAAGAATGTTATACTACAAATAACAAGTATGAAAAAAAATGGCAACACTAACTTTTTTCTGCATATGTGTTGTACTAATAAAAAAAAGTATAAGGTCTCTTATTAAAATTTGGTTTTAGGCCAGTGAAGCCACCCTTGTTTCCTATCTAGAACAGGACTAAGGAACCTAGGATTAGTGTTTCCTAACTAGCATTGGATTGAGGAGCTGTTTCTGTTTTCAATTTTATTTTTATTTTTTTCATATAACCCTTTAAAATTTGAATAAACAATGATCAATTTCTTTTAATTATTTTCAAATCTCTTACGTGAAAAATAAGAGGAATTTTTATAAAGCACTAACATCATGTGTCAATTGTATTTATTCGCACAACGAAAACAACTAAGGTGAAATTGTTATAAGAAAAATTAAATTATGGTGGATGTCTATTCTTCCTCCATGATCTTCTCAAATGTTTAATGACATATTCAATGACATATTTCTATGCTTAATGACATATTCAATGACATATTTTTCTTCACTTTTCATGCCTATATAAAAGCCTTGTAATAGATAGGAAAATATACATAATTAAAGAAGAATATCTCTTCCTTCTCTCTATCTCCATTTCTTGTTCATGTCTTACTAAATTGCTTTTATTTCATAACATGTCTTGTTCATATTTTACTAAGTTGCTTTTATTTTATAACATGTTATCAGCACGAATTGCTCATTTCATGATCTTCTACGTCAAGACTATGTAAATTATAAGCAGACAATGAGATTAAGTACAATGAAAAATGTCTTGGATGATAATACAAAGATAAGTTTTACATCCATCTAAACCTATTCATACTTTCATATCTTTGCATTAATTTTCTGTGTCGTGTTTAGTTAAAATATTTTTTTTAATTGTATCCAGTGAAATAAAGAACGGGAAAGGTATGTCTTTATTTGCTACATCTCTTATAGGACAAAGATAATATTCCAACGTATATATATGTTCTGGCCTTTTACATACTAAGGTAGATAATTATTAAGGTAATTTAGTAATAATATTTTTACCATCACATGATGTATTTCATTGAAAGCAAAATTATCAAATATGTAGGCGATTTTACACTACCTTGCAAATTTGACATTCTAATATACAATCAATATAAACTCATCATAGTTATAATTTATAATAGTCACGGTTATGCATTAAGCCTTAAATATTTTTGCTGGAAACATAAGGCTCATTTCTCCGTATTGATTTTTTTTTGGTGAAGTTCTTATGGTCTTTGAAATATAAGTGATTATAGGTTATCTGCACCTTTCCTCTAATTAATTTATTAAAATGTAAAAGTGATTGTATCATTTTTTTTTAAAAAAGGCATATATCCTAACTAGCATTTTTGTTGCAGAGGAACTGTTTCAAGATTGAAAAAGTTATATATGTCTTCTTGAAAGTTAATTTACCTATGCCTATAATTATGAAGTAATAATATTTTAAAGGCTCGAGTGCGAGTCCTAGTGAATTTTGGCCTATCATGCCAAAGATTGAGGGTAAGACGATGGGTTCAAGTCCCAACGCACTATGTTGATGAAAAGACGTTGGATTCAAGTTCCAACGCATTATGGCCTAGCATGCCTTTATATGGGTAAGGCATTGGGTTAGAGTCATAATAATAATAATAATAATAATAAGAATAAGAATAATAATAAAAAAAGAAGAATAATAATAATAATAAGAATAATAATAATAATAATAATAATAATAATAATAATAATAATAATAATAATAATAATAATAATAATAATAATAATATTCAAAAGGCTTACCATAAGAGCGAGGCCAGCTATGCTCCTCGACAAAGTAGCATCCGTTAGCTTCTCAAGGGTTTTANTAAAGAAAAAATAATATATTTTTCATGAAAAAACATGAAGTTTGTCCCACTTGATTTGCTTCATTCTTGAAGTGAATGTGCGTCACGACCCGAAATGTCACGACCCAATTTCACATGTAGGTCGTGATGGCGCCCAACACTACAGCTAGGCAAGCCAACTAATAAATTAAACNGTAATAATAACTGAAATAAAACTAGAATATTTAAATCAGCATAATTTACATAATTTACAATAATTTATTTAATCAGCGGAAATAATCAAATTCCTTCAAATGTAATAATTCTTAATATATTAATTAAATTTCTTCAATTCAAATAATTTTCAATTTATCAATTAAATCTCATTTACAGGAGTAACAATTAATTCATTAACAAGAAAAAATAATAATTCATTAAATTCCAAGGATATTCCAAATATATTAATTAGCTTCACAAGCTGAAATAAATTATTAAAGTATCGTGTAATTATTATTATTAAGCACGATTTCTGCCGAGGA